GTGTGAAAATAATATAGAGTGTTATCTCTCTCTCTCTCTCTCTCTCTCTCTCTCTCTCTCTCTCTCTCTCTCTCTCTCTCCCTTTCTGTTTTTGCCCAAGAGAAATGTGGTTAGGAAGGAAATCTGCTTTATCTACGATTGAGAAGACTTACCGATCGACCAATGTTATCGTACGGATTCATAGATAATAATATAATTCTTGAAATAGTTTCAACGATTCGTGGTAATTGGAAGAAATTGGCAATGGGATTAGCCAGAGTACGATCGGTTTATCGAGATATATAAATCCAATGGATTTTCATGTAATAATGAAGTGAGGCAAGGATGAAAGTGGCGAACAGTCGTTTAATGCATTATTGGATCTTCATATTTATTAATTGAATTATTAATCGAAGTAAGAAAAATCTCGGACATCTGACGACGATTGACGGAGGAGTGATAAAGATACAGTGTATGACTCGGTACTTTGATCATCTCCCGTCTAGTTAGCGCTCGAATCCAGCGTCTATTGTTGCGTGCTCCACGATCTTTCAATTCATCTTCTTTCGAGGGGTGTTGCTGTAGTTTTTTTCCACTAATGGTGATCAGCAAGATTAAAGCAGCAACATGTTGTAATAGAATGGCAATTAGATCAGGCCAGCCAGAGGCATTATTCGTCATTTCGTCCACAACGTGTCATCGTAAATGGTGATTAATCCGTTAAGTTGAGGGAGTGCTGCTTAAACCTGCAGGAGCGCGCTATTGCGCAAATCCTGGTAATATCATAGACGATCGGTTAACCAGCTGACTAAACTCTCCCTTTTATCACCTTGCGAAAATCTTGAATTCCTCGCAAATTCCTCGAAATTCGCGGCCGTGTACGATGAGATACGAGAGGGTCGAGCGCCCGCAATTGTTCACCGACTGCAACGAAGGACTCGCTAATGTGTTGTGAATGTATAGTCATTGAGGGGATTGATAGATTGGTCCAGAGTTTGAGACAAGGATAAAAGTTAAGTCAGTCAATGGTATTATTGGTAGTTCATGGGCAGTAGTCATGAGTAGCATTTCAGTTAAAGAACTTTGATCAAGGTATAGAGCATGGAATTGCATTTTGGTGAGTTTCTGTTGGTTTGTATCGTCGCTATCGAATAGAATCTTCAATTTTGGTGAAAGAATATTTGAAGAAGGTACTTAATTAAGAAGTAGATTGGCAAATTCAAGGCTTTGAATTTTGTATAAATGAGAATATTTTAATTACCGGTGAACCATAAATACATTGTCTATGATTAACGAGTGAGTTTCATTTGATTATTCGCTTTTAAAGTAAGAAGTAAAGAATTTGATGTTCGTAGCACTTATGATGGAGCTTAAGTTTGGTAGTAATTTTTGCTTGAATACTTAAGGACAATTATATTATTACTTATAATTATTTCATTATAGCATATTATTATATTAAGAATTGTCTTATTCAAATTATAATGATATTGCATAATTAAACGTGAGAGCGCTTATTTATGTTGTAAACATATTTTATTATCGATAAACATTTGCTTTTCTATACTTTCAGATATATAAACAATGTCTTCGATAAACAGTGTTGAGTCATTAGGAACCCTTCAATGGGATATGATAGAGTTAGCTGGACACTTGCGTCAAGAGCGACTGTTTGTTAATTCCGAGCAACAGAATTTACAAACCTTAAATGAAAAAGTAAGTAAAAATAGAAAATTTCTTTGAAAATTCACATTGTAAATGGCAAAAAGAAGAATACATCTTGTATTCACAATAAAAATTTCTTTTTTTTTAACACATGAGAATTCTTGGAGAGCCAAGAAAAAACTGATAATATATATTTTTTCTTAATATTTGCTATTAGTTTTCTCAGTGAGCGAATAAACGTTTTTGCTGCATTAAGCAAACATAATTATAAGCAATAGTATAAAAAATAATAAACTAAAAAGTGAGGTTAGATTAGTAGATTACATTATAAATAATACTTGCGAGACAAATTTTAAAAGAGTCTTTGAACTAACCTTTATTATATAAAACCATTTAAATTTTAGAATGGACGAGTTTCGATTTTAATACAATTTAAACATCTAATTCAAATAATGTGTATTCAAATGATATGTAATTAAGGATATATCCTTGAGCTAAAGACCTAATTTTTTATCAGTTCATTATGCAACAATCGCATGTAGCTTTACACTTATAATAATAATTATGTACAATAGTAGACCATTACACTTACAATAATAATAATTCTAAAATGTTTATTAGATTATAATTTTGCCGAAATGGGAGCTAAACTTATATGGAAATGTTGCAGGTATTATGTTTATCGGCAAATTTAGCTCAGCAAGCATGGATAACAGCCCAACAAAGAGTAAATTTAAATCGATTGATCGTATCCAGACCCGATTGTACACCAGCGTCCTGCTGCCAAAGAGCAAATATTTTAGAAAACTCTCGCTTCATCGATGCATTTAAGCAACTACATCACCAACCATGCATCGCGTACGGAGAATTTCTTTCATCGTTGCGCACATCGGTTAAGCTTCTCGCTTCCTGTTTAGTCGAAGGGGACAAAATTGTGCCAGAGATGATGCAAGGCATCATTCAGTCTCTCGCCAGTGGACTTTACGGTAGCTGCTTATTGCCAGAAGACAAAATCTTGGTATTAAAACTATTGAGACATCTAATGCTTCTGCAAATTGTCCCATCCGACAATCCAAGAAGACTACTACGACACGGAACTTGTGCATTTTCAAGATTTTATTCCGTTTTTCACGAAAGCCTCTTTTCCGCCAAGTTATTTTTAACCGCTGCTTTGAACGGACCAATTATGCAACTCTTAATGGAAGACGAAATGTTTCTTGATATCGATCCGGATAAAGCAACGGTACGATTTCACCCCAATGAAAAGTTGAAAAAATTTGGCAAGGAAGGCACCGTTGAGTATCAAACGAAATTACAACGCTATAGACACTGGACGGTAGGTTATCGTTTACGAGCAAGAATCCCAAGTTTTTGTAAATTCTTTCGACTTTCGCTCCCTACTACGTCTCGATTTCAAAATAATATTCACAATTGTTATTATTACCTGGAAATAAAGTTTCACGTACTCGCGTATGTAACACGCGTAGGTATGCATAATCACAATGATGACAATACAACGGCACTAAAAGCATACTCCCGTGTAAAATGCCAAAAGTTGTATTCTATACGGGGCAACTTAAATCTGCCGATAAAAATTGATAAAATACGGCTTTGAAAAGTAATCGCCATTATAATAGAATCAAACATAAAATACCATTGTTAAGAAAGCCGTCGTGTTATAAATGCGTAAATGCACCGATGCTTTTGTTGGGCAGAAAATTGAATAATAATATTTGCCTTCATCGCAGGTCAACTCCTTGGTGCGCATAACTCAAAGATTTATTGTCAGTATAAAGGAGAACATGCACTGCTTCCCGACGTGCGTGTACTGGTTAGTACGGCAGATGGCTGGCTTATTAAATAAAACGGGCAATGTCGATCCGAAGGAGATCCACGCAATGTGTACCGACCTTGTATTTACGTACTTTATCTGCCCTGCGATCGTCAATCCCGAGCCTTACGGCATCACCGACGCACCCATAAGCTACGTCGCACGATTCAATCTCATGCAAGTCGGACAGATACTGCAAATGCTCTCGCTCATTAAGTATCAGAGTATCGACTCCAAGGTAATCGATCGATCGCTTTTTAATCCGATAAGAACAGCTTCCATCTAACTAAGAGATCTTAAAGCCAATGATAAATCATATAACGTATGTCACTAACGCACATTTACATACAGTGGATACTAGCTAACCTATTTTGCATTATTTATGCGCATTACGATCGTTTCACAAGACATTTCCATGTGAAAGTTATGAAATAATAATAATCCATAATAATGAAAATTAAAAAATAATTGACACTTTGGAGTCCACTCCAAACGCCCGGCCCTCTTATAATGAATAATCATTAAGCCACGAGTTTGACCTTCCAGGTAATGGATCTTTATCGGAGATTCGAGAAGGACTCGGTGTCGTCGATATTGGACGCGATGCTGGACGGGGCGATGGAGGAATTAGAGGAGGAGCCGAGCATCATCGACGCTAATAAATTGCAGGGGCTGGCAAGATCCGCTGCCTTGTTTACGGAAAGCGAGTTGAACAATTTGGTCGCGTTCTTGCAGTCGATTAACGATGCCGCGACGGCTAATCGAGACGACGCAGACAGCGTATTCGTCCCTCCTGTGGCCAATGGCTTTGATTATAAGCAACTTAACGACATGCTGTCGCAACTGCCTTCGTCCGTTGTCAGTGCCACCAAGACAACCAATAATACGTCCCCGGATTCGCCCAATAAGAAAAGTAGCATTTTAGGCAAAGGTGATGATTTTGTATTAATAAACACTTTGGCGATTAAAATGGCAGCCGACGAAATGACGCGCGAATTGCTCGATCAATTTTTCCAAATAAATCAATAACAATTTGTCTCATTTGTAATTACCATTGTATTTAAATAGCACTCCTCTTAATTATTAAAATGTCCCTTAATTAATAAAATGAGCAATTTTCAATTTTTTTTGCCTGTCGTGTGCTGTTGTACTTTATTTACTTATCAAATATCAAATTAATGAGCGAGCCATATTGCCATTTATTGGGAATTTTGATTTTAAATTCCAAATGAAATGTTTGTTTAACAATTGACGTTAATTTCATCCCGAAGAATCGCCCGCCACGACGAGCACGAGAGCAAATAGCCTTTCCTCAATTGAAATACAATGGAAATTTGCAATAAACCCAATGTCACCATTTTACAGTCACATTTTCATATTAATTATCTCACCTAAAGTATCATTTTTAATGAATTGCATGTTCTAGCAGTAGGTAGAAGTCGAGGATCGCGCGTTACCGGCAACAATGCATTATCAGACATCGGAGATGATACGAATAGTGCATCAGGTCCAGAGGACGATTCCTCCGATAAAACTCCATTGGGAGTTTTGATAATACCTTTCGGACTGACTGTGGGAGAATCCGTAGGGCTTTTGAGCGAGCAAAAGGTAAGCTCCTCGAATGCTATCTCAACGCCACTACACTTCCCATTAAATATCTCTAGATCGCCATCGAGATTCGCACGTTTATGCGAATTATTAATTGCAAATTTTTTACTAAAAAGACTCCCCACCCCCACCCCTCAAAATAAACATAATAAACGTAATAAAAATCGTTCGAAAAATTTTTATGAATAATTGCGATGCTTCGTTTATGCATTCAGGTTTTGTGTATGCAAAGAAACATGGATTCGGAAGCAATGACAATAAATCTGTCGGAGGAGCTTACCAATGGACATAATTGTAATCGAGAAACAAACGGCGACAGAATCGAAACTCAAGAGAAACGTACTCGCTTCTCATTATCTCACGATGAAGGTAAATCCCGTATTATCGACGACTAATTAATAAACACTCGCCGGCCTTTACGTATGCCGATAAATTAATTATTAATATCAATTCTATTGTTATTAGTTCTATTCGAAGGTTCTATCGGCAATACTTCGGATAATTTGGAGGCCGTATCCGAAGCAGCCTCGAATCACAGCGTCGCCTCATCCTTGGAACTCGAAACCGAGGATCAAAACGATAATTTATCAGACATGATATCCGCCAATGTGTCGGGAAGAGGGACGCCCAATATTTCTGGTAAATTTGACAATTTTGGCTATATAATTTGAATACGCGTCAAGGCTCGCATGCGATTGTAACGATCGTGTGAATGTTCAGGTCGGGACACGCCGTCGTCTCAGATTACCGAGGGTGACGATGGTCGAGGTACGGGTGATAATCGTCGACTCGACCTGGCCCCGCCAACTATATCCACCAAACAAAGCCGATCGGAGATTGACGATAAATTTTGCAAGTTTGAGATTAAGAAATTGATGGAGGGTATGTTAATTCAATTAATCTTAACATTACAGTGTTTTACCTTACTTTACATTATCTTACCTTAGTTTACCTTACGTTACATTATATTTATCAACATTCCAATATAATGTGCGCTTTCCAACGGATTGGCACAGGGATTCACTTTATCGGATTAATGTTCTTTCGATTAGAGATACCTTATCACGCGTAATGGTAAATTAACTGCAGCGTTGTTCGATTAATGCCTAGTCGTAATCGAATACGTAACGAGAAGCCAGAATTCATGAAGGTGTGTGTACAAATGTTATGCACTTTATTGCCAGGAGACGAAACAATTTCCTTGATTTCCGACACATGGTCGACCGATGTCCTGGCGTCCGACAGCGAATTAGTGGAGCAGCAGGATCGCTTTCATTTCCTGCCACCAACGGAGCAACCACCGCCACCTCCACTCACTTCGGAACCCATAACGGTGAATCTCGATATAAGCGAAACGGCCTCCGAGGCTTGGAGTACCGATGTATTAGCAAGCGACTCGGAGCGGATGACGGAAATCGATACCGATGATACCGCTAGTGTCGCAAGGTACTTCTCGTTCGCTTTAAGCCTCCAATCAAGCTCCTAATAATTAGAGAGCCATAGCTCGTATTAACTAATGGATAAATTTAACAAAGACAACATATAAACATAATGGCTTTTGTGTCGTTCTTAGATCGGACGATACAGCGAGATCGGAGATCGAAAGTCGCGGCGAGCCAGAAGGCGGAGAAGATACACCACCACCGGTAAATCAATGTAAGAGTCTCCTCGTATCGAACCTCAATGTTATCCGTACTGTTATTAGTAAGTGAAAATATGTAGCACCACTTTACGCGCCACCGGGCATCTTAAATCCCATCTCCGAGCACACATCGTCCATACGTTGTTTTGCATTATGTGATTTGTCGATTAGACGTTGAGCTCTATTGCTGCAAGTTCGTTTTGTTCGCGCGTAAATGCCAAATTTAAGAAATCGCTCGTTTGGCCGATTGAACAGTCCTCGACATTGCTCAAACATTGTTCAAGCATTGAGTACTCAATGAATAAAGTAAACAATGGACGTAACTATGAAATGTACTTGTGACTCGCAAAAGCAAGCCACGACGTCCACGTATTAGCCACATATCGCCCACGTATCGTCGTCGCCTCCCCCCCCCCTCAACGCCACCAAAAACAAAAACGTACATTAAATCCGTAGTGATGGAGAACGCCGGCACGTTCTTCCGACCCATCCGTGACGACGCGCACTCGACAATAAGGATGCCGTCGTCGCCGCCGACGCCTCTCTCGCCCTCGTCCTCGAACGCCCCTGTCCGGGCGAGCATCAAAGTCGAGCCCAGAACCAACAACGTCGCCTACATCGACAACAACGCCAACAGTATTAACGGCGCGTTATACGGCAAGTCGAACGCCGAGGACAGGCTCGCTCACCTCATCGACAAGCTTCAGATCGACGGACCAAAGGTCGCCGGTGAGACGGCCCAGGAGTCCACCGCGGGCAATCACATTGGGGCAGCAGCCGTAGCACCCGCTCTCCTCCTCGCCAATCACCTCAATGCCCCGACGATGGCTCTGAATCGGAAGCTACCCAACGGCGATGCCAAAACGGTAAAAGCACCGGCTTACCTACGACTCTCCAAAGAGATGATGTATTGTTGATGGAGGGTGGGTGGGGGCCACATATAGAATAATTGCAGCGACAGACTCGACTGACCGTCTCGTTAGTTCCTAATACGATGATTGTCGCGTGAGCGCAGGGTCACGGCGAGCTTATGTCGGCCAATGGCGACGTCGTGGTGAGACTGAGCACGGCGAGCCTCACCTCGAGTAGCAGCTCCGGATCGGACTCGCGGCTCCCAAAGGTCAGCGGACAGCTGGGCGAGGGCCCGAGTCAGGGGTCTGTTAATGCTATGGTGTTGGCGTCGGCCTCGACAGCGGCGAGCAGTGTCGGCGCAGGTGGCAGCAGCTGCAGCAGCAGCAACGACGTGACCGATGGCGCGCGAGAGCCAAACTGCGCGAAGACATCGAACGCGACGGGCGCCATACCCAAGAGCATCAGCTTCGACATGACGGCCGAGCGCGGCGACAAGGAGCTGCTCGACGACGAGCAGAAGGCCAAGCGCGGCTTCTTCGGCAAGCTGAAGATGTCGCTGAGGAACCGAAGGGGCAAATCCCTAAGGGGCCCGGACGAGCTCAGCAGGTGCTACGAGCGCGGACTCTCCGAGTCGGGTAACGACGGCGGTCTGGTGAGCGGCGACGCCAGGCACAGGCTACGCAGGATCATGTCCGACGACGCCACGTCCACCTGCAGTGTAAATAGCGGTAAGCGATTAATGGTACCTGGAGATATTTCGAGGTCGGTCTCTATGGCCGAATCTATTGGCCATTCGCTTAATCGGTGCTCGAGCCGCGGCTGACGTAACACATAACCCTAAGAATAATAATAATCGTACATACATAATAATCGTGAAAATGAAAATTAACATTACAGATACAACGGACGATATATTAGCAAAGTATAGGAGAAAGCCGAGTGCCAATAGCGACACGGCGTCGGTCGAGAGTACGCAATCGAGGACGAAGGAGGTGGAAGACGAGAGGCTTTTCATCGATCCCAACAACGTCGAATTGTCGTTCGCCTTCGCCGACGCCAAACGAAAGCTGAGAATGGTTCTCAGCACCGCGGACCTGCAGCACGTCCCGTGGACCAACGTCTCAGAAGTAAGAATCACGATCGATCGAGCCTTACCCATTTACGAATTTGATATATTAAGAGGCTTTCATAATCCTTAAGTTAGATAATATATTTGAAACAGAGACACTCGTGGATACAAAAGGAGAACGAATTGGTTGCTTTCCTCCAGCTTCAATTGGCCGAAGCCATAAATTTGCAGGATCGAGCGTTGATCGCTCATCTACACGAGACTCTACGATGCGTAAGATTATTCAACGAGGATGGTTGTAGGAAATTGTTCAAGTCTCTTGGTGACGATTATCAAAAGCGATCGCCTTACATTGCTTATTTAATTAGATGCCGGCAGGGTTTGTTATCGACGATGGCGCATTTAGATCGGTAAGTATTTATAAAGGTGATGCCTTTTAAGGATTGAGCGTTGAAGAGTTGAAATTGAAAGCAAGCGTTACGACAACTTCAATCAATGACAATTTGTTATTTCGGGAATGTCGACAATATAGACGATTTTGACGACGATGACGATTCGTATCAATCATTAACAAGTGCTTCTATTTATTTCATTGCCCCGAGGCAAATCGCAGCCTCTCGATGCGATAAAATACGATAATATACGATTGAACTAGCACTCGTTCCTCATTATATTTTCAAATTCTAGATTGGGAGAACGTGTAAAGTGTGATCGCGATGCTGTAAATAGTCACTTAGTGTCGGTGTGCGTAAGAGTATTCTTAGAAAAGCGGGACTTGCACCTTCAGAGGTTCTGCGAGGAATTCAAGAAGTTGACGGTGGCCGACGAGAAGCAAGATCTAGTGGACAGCTTCTTAAACAGATTGCACACCGAAATGGAAAACGATCCGATATGGCAAGGTACGGCATATTCACCCAAGCGGCACGATTTGTTTAATTAACATAGAGCGGTTGATCGATTCATGCTTTCACATAATTTACGTACTCTTAAAATTTAAGTAATTTGCCTTTTAATTGATAAATGGATTGGTTCTCTAAACGAAACGTTTCGCGACGATGTAGTGTGTCGACGGGTAAGTGAACACATGAGCTCGGTGTTGCCACAGAGGCCTTCAAGTACATTTTCCCCGATGTTTCTTTGACATTAAAAGAAAGGCCTTCGGCAATCCGTTTCGCGCGCACTCCATTCAACCGAGGTGAAAAGATTTTCATCTCAAAGTCACTCAGCGTTCAAAGTCGATTAAACATCCGCGATTTTCTTTATGGATGTCGTGCAGAGTTCTAAACTTCCATCTACGGGCGACTGCTTTTTATTATTGTAAAAAAAAAAAAAAAAAAAAAAAAAATTGGAAAATTTAGCCACATTCGATTGCACGGTTTCCATCCATATAATAAACATCGGCTAATTACTATTTAATTAAAACAAATAGCTCGACTTGGTTAAATTCGAGCGTTAAAAGCACCATCTCCAATATCCATATAACCTTGAATTTCGATATTAAAATTAAAATTTCGATATTCGATAATAAATTCGACGTTAAAAGCTCAGCCTGTATCAGCGAATTAACTACCCCGTCTATAATTTAATTTGAAATCCCGTTCAGCCGCCAGCTGCAGTCAACTGGAGCTCGCGAGAACGGTGGTGGAGCGGACGCTCATGGCCACTGTTTATCAGAATGCCCTCTACCCGAATGGGGATGGGGACGTGCACCGCGACCACGTCTTTCACGATCACATCAAGAAGATCGCCAAACTCGTGACGCCGAACCACAAGGACCTGCGCATTCCCAAGATCTACCATTATGAGTGCCCCTGGCCCTGGGCCCAGGCCGAGCTCGCCGTCATATCGGCTTACAAAACGCCCTGCGATAAGATGCAATGCGTCTTCCGCGATACCATCATGAAGTGGTGGTCGATGCCTGCGGAGCGCGGGATGCCTGCGGCGGACGATCTCATTCCAGTCCTCGTCTATGTTATTATAAAGGTGATTTTATAAAGCCGAGGCGGCTGAAACTCTCGCTCTTAACGAGCAAATTTTATTTCAACTTTTATTCGAATTTGTTAATCGGGATTAATCGGGATTAATCGGGATTAATCGGGAGTTTTTGTAAGAATCGCATTCATTGCCATCGAGAAGTGGTCTGCCTTCATTCGTGTTAACTTCTTGTTCGCTGCAAATTAAGTGCTACATTACGAGTTGAAGATGAATACATCAAGAATATATAAAACGACATTGAAATCAAAATGAACAATGATAAAGTAGATATTAATTTAGACAGATCGTTAAATTATGTTACTGATTAAATCTGAATCTGATTAAAAACGTCTATTACGAATGATTATAGAGCGCCAAGCAAACGAATTTTTATCTATAGTTAACTATTTAACTATTCTGAGACATTTTACTACATTTTTTCTCTCATTATTTTCACCTTCTTTCTCTCTCTCTCTCTCTCTCTCTCTCTCTCTCTCTCTCAAAAAAAAAAATATATATATATATATATAATTTAAAGTTTCAATGAAAGATGCGTGAAATAAGCAATATGAAAATCAGAAATGTCTAATCGTTGTTTCTCAAAAGCTACTTGTTTCTCTTTCAGACAAATCCACCGTCATTACTTTCAACGATACAGTACGTCAATAGCTTTTTTGGAAATCGAATGGAAGGCGAAGAACAATATTGGTGGACACAGTTTTGCTCGGCTGTAGAATTCATAAAAACCATGGATTAATATTTTTTAATATAATTGCAGTTACAATTAAAATGAATATTATTAATAATAGTTATTCGTATTATGTAAAGAGATCTAAATATTAGTGTTTTGAGCAGAACGAACGAGTACGTTTTTTTTCTCTTTTTTTTTCTTCTTCATTTTAAACAATTGAAACAATGTTTTATAAAAATGCATTTAGAGCATACTTTATATTTTTTTGAAAATCATGAGATTAATTTAGACAATGGCTTGAATGGAAAATATTTTAATTTTTATTTCATTATACATTAAGTATACGGTTAAAATATTTATTGAGATTTATTATCTATTAAGGGTAACACACAACACTTAATAATTTTATGTATCGGAAATCCATGCAGAAGTGCTGTAAATTTTCTAATTATATAGGAAAATAAACAAATAACAAAAACGTAAATTTAAGAGACAATGATAGATAAAAAGAACAATGGGCTACGACGAATTTATGTAATTAAACAATAGTATAGAAACAATTAAACTAATTTAATATTATTAACATGCAATAAATAAAGCTCGTTCAATAATCAACTGATAAAAAAACTGATTAAAAAAAAAATAATAAATAAAAAAATTAATTTACAACAAAAAAAAAAAGATTTTATTATAGAATTGTTATAACACTAATGTTTCTCCGCAACTAACGACGTAAATTGACATTACTAATTACTTGTACATTGTTTTGTAAGCACATTCTATCACATTAGTAACAGTAAAACGTTAAATATCATCTTTTCAACACGTAAATAAATTACTTCAATATTTTCAAGTTATTTATTTTTATATTCTAGATTAATTTAGGTAAATATTATTGGAGAATCTCTAAATATTTTACTAGTGGAGTTCTGATTTATGCACTTGCAAAATAGTCGAATAAATCCAAGTAATTATATATCCGTCATCCATTGTTTATTTATTTGAAAAATCTCAAAATTTGATTAAGAAATTATATAATGTTGTTTTCTTTCTTTTCATTTAATATTATATTGAAAATTAATTGATAACTTCAAAAGCTCGAGACCATTAGAATTATGTAATAATTATTTTTTTGATAATTTGAAAAGTTTATAAAAGCATGAAGCATTATTATAAGTGTGTTTAATTAATTGTGTTTAGCCAAGGTTAAGTTCGGCAAAGATGTAATATAATCTTGTGCCAAACGTGACGAATGTTTACCAATATTTCAAAGCAGCGCATTATTCGGTAAACAAAGCTTAACATTTAATAATCTATATGAAATAATGGCTATAATTATAATTTAATATTTGTAGATCGGTTAAAATTATATTTTTAATGACGAAATAAACCCAAACTATTTATGCAATTAAAAAATTACCAATAATAAATCAATTTTGTATAATTTCATAATTTATTTATTATTGTGGTTTTAGGATTATTTACCCAACCTATCATTCTTCAAAGTTAATCAAAATTCTCCGAGCTCGATATATACAATTACATGTATATCACTTGTGGCGATAAAAGTTATATCTATTCAAATGAAACACGAATATGATTTGATTATATATATATATATATATATATATATATATATATATATATATATATATATATATATATATGATTTAACACAAATTGATATTACGATATTTAAGAAATATGGTGGGTCAATTAATTATAAAAACAACTTTTGTTTTCTCAAAATGATGAAAAACTAATAATATTTAGAAGTCACATAATGCGTAATAGATATGTGATAAGATTTTCAAACAGCTCTTCTTTAAAATACAATTTCATTAAAAAAAAATCAAAATTTCAATTTAGTATTCACAAAATTGCAAGTCTAAACTACAAGAGAAAAGTGTTACTAAAACATTTATTTATAATCGATCACTTAATTAAGATTCGACATTTTGTACACTTTACAACATATCACAATCGATAATTAATTCCAGCGTCCGACTTTATACTTCGTAAATTTTAAATAAAAGTAATCTCACACTTGAACATTTAACACATCGTCTTGCCCTAAAATTATATATACTCTCTACCTGTGCAAAACGATTAATAACTTCTTTTTCTTTTTTTTTTTTAAACAAAATGGTATTTATACAATTATCCTTGACTTAAATCAAGGATGCAAGGTAAATTATTTATCATACTTCATGCGACCCTCGCTTAAAAATAAATATAAATATAAAATAAAACAATTAATTATCTCGGCGTACGTACAAGACAAGAAAGTAAAAGTTTCATCCGTTTAAAACTACATTAACTTTTATCGCCTTCGTATGACATTCCCAATGTTAAAAGCGTACAAAATTAAATAATATCATTTATTTAGATTAGATTATAGTCTTGAAAACCAGTAGCTGTGGAAACGATGCCATTTTCCAAATAAACAAAATTTTGGTGTACGAATTATAAAATCACACGCGCAAAATGTCGAATTTTCTTTATATTTTTCAATTGTCTTGCCATCCTTCGATAACAATGAAAATATACTTATTTTAAAAACACTTTCTTTTAACCCTTATCGTGTCTTAACGGATTTTAACTAACGTAACTGCAATAATATCTATTTATTTTAGCAGCAGAGAATTGCAAAGAAAGGTAATCGCCTTCTCTTAATTTCTGCAAATGACGTAACAGCAACAGCAACAGCAGCAGCAGATCCGTAGTTCATCTTATTTATTCTCTTTCTCCAATTAGAAAAACAAACATAACAACTCTTTCAATAAATTAAAAGTATTTTTCACACATAGTATATAATAAGACATGATTCAATTATCGTTTTTTGCGTATTTACCAAGAATAATTAAATGAACGAGACAACAAAAATATCTTGTCTATATTATATTTGAAATAAATATTGCGTGTGAAAAATATCGAGAGAGAAAAGAATAGTAAAATGCTAATAGAGGCTTCACCTCCTATTATACAAGTATAAACAATAAAATAACAAACATACATTTTTTGTTTTTGTTTTTTTTCTTTTTTTTCTTTTCTTATAATTAGAAACTTAAAATGGATTATTATCGTACAGAGGTACAGAAATTGGTAAGATTATCGTATATTTTTTGCCTTTCATAGCATGAAACGCATGATTAATTTAATTTCCTTATCTACAACAAATTTTAAGTTCAAATATTGTAGATGTATTTGAGGGTGTAAGAAATGCACAACTTAATGTTGACTGTACGTAACATTTCTGTCAGCTCTTCATGTTAATATTTTATATCTAGTGTGTCATGTGCTTTATTGAAAGATTCATCATTCGCCATACATAATAATTATTGATAGTCGTCGAAATAGATTAATATTAGTGTATAAAGGAGCATTCACCAAGGAAAGAAACAACATATCTTGTGACCTAAAAATGACGATACATTTATTTTGTTCTCTTCTTTTTTAATGATCAATGCAATCTAGGTCACCAGAAATACAATTATGTTTTCATCATTTTTTATTGTTTTTAGCATCATCATCATTATCACCTTATCATGATCACCGTCAGCATATCATCTCATAATCATCACCATTAACTTTTCACGTTTTAAATAATAATCGTAATAATTACTAAATTAATAATAATAATAATAATAATAATAATAATAATAATAATTAATGATAATGATTAATAATAATTAATAATAATTAATAATAATAATAATTAATAATTAATAATTCATAATAATAATAATAATAATAAAGGACTATGGAGGAATTCCTGTTCATTTCATTAAATTTAATTATATATAATATATATTACATATATATTATGACTGAATCACCGACACATGTAATTTTTTTATTATTATTCGGTACTTTACTTTGCATTCATTGAAACGTTCTCTCCCCCTCCCGCACCTCCCCCTTTTTTGTTTTTAAGTAAACGACGCGTTTCAGCCCTCCTGCCCTCCCGGCTTAAAAGGGGTGGGGAGCGTTAAATCGCACGCATGTCTGGCATCCCTAGGAAGTGCACCAACCAATTTTAATTATTTCTTTTTCTCTTAAATCTCCTACTCACTCACACTTCATTATTTTCACACTACCTCACACTTTCATACTCTTACACGCAGTCTTTCCATTTCACTTTAACAATCCGTTCCGTGATTTTACGAAAAGTGGTGTCGACGTTATTACTTATCCATTATTTTCTGCTGTTACTCCGTTTTTCCATTTATTTATTATTTTTTTTAATACACACGATCTTGTTTTAAATATTCTTATACACTCTCTCTCTTTCTCTCTCTCTCTCGCTCTCTTCCTCTCTCTCTCATCTCGAAGAAAAAACAACGACGCGAAGGAAGCGAACATGCGCGATAGTCGCATGTCCCTCATTACTTATTTATTTGTTTATTTAGAATATTCGAGAAAAACCTTCAATATAGGAATGACGAGGGTTCGATCTAGATATCATTTTTTCCCGTTAACTTTATATACGAAATTACCGCTATCTAAGTTTCGATCGAAGAAGTGAAAGAAACGATTTTTATAACAGATACGTAAAGGCAACCGACAGACAAGATTTGTGAGCCGAGTGCTTTTGCCTTTCTTTTATTTTTCTTTCTTTCATTGTTTTAATTCGAATGAATTCGATGGAACTTTGACGAGAAAACACTTTTTTTTACAAAGTCGAAATCTAAAATGAAAAGGTAAATGAACTTCGACTTTTAGATGTTTTCAAGCTTGTCTTTAATTTATATGTTTGAAAATGCATTGCTTTTTAGCACAAAAGTTCACATATAAATTGCAGCTCTATCAAACTTTTCAGGCTTTGCACTGCTCCTCTTCACCTTAGAACTTTGCAATAGTTCGTCGATACGATATTTTATTTATATATATATATATACATATATATATATATATATATATACACATATACATACATATTTTTTTTACATTTCTCAGCGTGTTTTACTTATATAAATTAAATTACCAGACACTACACACTTTAGTTTAGGATATCGTTATGAAATATCGAGCGAATCCGTTTTGCGAAAGGTTATTTTATTTTAATATTCACCTTTAAAAATTATCCAAGTCCTGCCTAATGATCATTACATTGTGGTATATATATACACACACATCTATATATAAATATATTCAAACAAGTAAATTGAATGAGAAAAAAGACATTTATAAAAACTTAAAAATTTATTCTAATTGACTGCGGAACCAATGGATAACAAGTTTAACTAAAAATTGTGTACGTGCGTTCCACGTTAATCAATAATTTCGTTAACTGGTTAAATATTGTTGTCGCAAATACATTTTTTGTTTTTTTTTTGTTTTTGTGTTTTTTTTAATGTTTGTTTACAAGCGTGAAGTGTAAAAGAGAAAATAGGTTTCGGAAAGCTCGATATGTATAGCAATAATAACAGTAAAGGGAGGACTTAATCCTAATTTACTTCAATATGCATTATATTTATTTAAAAAATTACACTGCCTTTGAACAAAATTTGATGAATTATCGCAAATAAGATTTCGTTTTTCCGTTTATACGCAATTCGTGTATTATACTTTTCAATTAATTTTTATCTAAGATTGTTTCACTTTCTTCTTATACATGAATGACTCATGGGTCGACCTTCGACTGAGAAAACGCATCAAACTTTATTCAAAGAAACGTGAAGGAAAAATCTACTATACTATATTCACTTTTTTGTTTGTTTAATTTACGATTTCACTTGACGCGCCCAAAATTCTTTTTGCCATTTCTTTTCCATTAAATACGATATTTCGTTAAAAAGGAGAAATTGAGGAAAGAAAGAGGCTTAGAAATCGGGTGTGTAAATTCGGAAAGGAAAGCGGAAATGCAAAGTTTTCGTTTTAATTGTTGTAGTTGTAGTTGTTGCGTGCCCTCGTGCGATACACATAGACTCGAATTTTTTTGTTCTTTTATCATTTTAAAAGTTTGTTTTTTGTTTTTTATCGTTTGCAAATAAAAGCATATTGACGACACATTTGTTAACAGGTGTGTGCTTATTGTGTACGCGCACATACTTGTTAAGAAAAATGACCGATTGATAATTACTTTTTTTTTTTTCATTTTTGCTGGTAGACTCTGAATTAAATAATATTAATTTCCCTTATTACTTATCGTAAACGACGACGATTAATACATGTCGAACGGGACATTAACATCTTGTGTTCAAGACTCCTTTGCATCCTGATACAAGACTTTATCCACTTTTTTGGTTGAGACGTTTTTTCATTTATGGTTTTTTGTTTTTATCGCTTGATTCTTCATTTTTTTTTCTTTAGTACGTCAACACCACTCTAAATCGCGAGTTTTCCCAAGCACATTAGTTAATTCACTTTGATGTCATCATTGTGACGAATTCTGCAACAAAACATAAAGTCACATATGAGGGATTATTATTTGTCGCGCGCACTCGTGCTTAACGAGGGAGTTCGCTAGGAATTGGCTCTTCTCACCTTCATAATTAACTTGTCCGTCGCCATCGATGTCCGCTTCCCGAATCATTTCGTCGACCTCTTCGTCGGTGAGCTTCTCGCCGAGATTTGTCATGACGTGTCTCAACTCGGCTGCCGATATGAAGCCATTGCCATCCTTATCGAACACCCTAAAGGCCTCCCTGATTTCTTCCTCGCTGTCCGTGTCCTTCATCTTGCGCGCCATCATTGTTAAGAACTCAGGGAAGTCGATTGTACCATTGCCTGAAAGTAGATACGTAAATTTACATCTCATGGCACTATTATATAATGCAAATATGCAATAATATTCGATTAAAGTTGATTATTATTTAATTATTCAATTATTATTCAATTATTGCAATGAGTAATGAATGTTTTTCTATCTCTATGTTTTGTTTTATTTTGTTTTATTTCGTTTTCTTTCTTCGTTTTCTTCCCGCGAACGAACAAATGATTTCTTTGCATTGGCGAAGCTTGCAAATCATAGACTTATTGTTCCATTGGGTCGTGCGAATGAAAAACTCATCGGTCTATTTACATGATTTTAAATATAACGCTGCAGAAAATGAATCGTTAAAGATTAAATAAACTGCCAAAACTTTAATTACAAAAGGATAGTTAACGCGATTTCAAAACAAACTGCCAACAATTTTCATAATTAAATTTTATCTTCATCGAGTCAACGCAAACACAACGTATTAAATATAATATTATATTAATATGAACAAATTTTAATCTAATCAATATTTCTTTCTCAACGTTATTTTCAGCTTTTGCACCGTATGTAATATTTAAATTAAAAAATATTTTCACACTTATATTATCATGATAATAGAGGCAATTGCCTGAAAATTATTATCTATAATAAATTATTATATAAATCAGATATAAAAAAAAAAAAAAAAAAAAAAAAAAAAAAAAAAAAAAAAAAAAAAAAAAAAATTATAAAAATTGTTATTTTTTTAATTAAAAAAATCGACGTAGTAATAATACATGATAAGCGTCACTTTATTTTTATCAACAAATATAATATTCAATGGAACACATTTCATTAGACAATATTTGCAAGGATACATAATTGATTGTATTCATTACACTGACTCGATTAATTAAAGTTTTCATATTAGAGTTCATTATCTATTGACGCAAAGCTTTTAATTTACGTAACAAGCATTTTCATTAATTACACATTATCATTAGCAGCATTCAATGTTTCTACTAATAGTACAATTTTAATTTTAAATGTGTCAATTATATCTATGTTGAAATCATATAAAATTTGAAGAAGAAAAAAAAGAATTACAAAAAACAAACAAATTGTCAATTCACAAAATTAATAAATAAGAGTATTATTTAATTTTAAACAATCGTAATTTACCGTTTGATCTTTAAAAAATATAAATTTCCTTACCTTAACACAATATTCGTCTATTAACTTTTTTATTTTTTTTTAAACAATGACATCATTCTTCTTTCAACCGTTACGTTATTTATAAATTCTGATAATTTTATAGAAAGTTCGTTCTACTTACTTACAATAGTAAACAAAAACAAAAAACAAAAAAAAATTCGCGCAACCTTCGTATGAATAACTATTTTTTACATTAATCTTTGCCACCTTTGTCAAATAATACAAAAACTATTCTTAAGAATATTACTCAATTTATAGTGCACATATTTAAATACTTAGAACATCGTTCCAAAACAAACCAACTTTATTAATATTATTTTAATTGTCTCATAAAGCAAACCTACGTTTTTATCTACATTTCGAACCTATTCAAACATATTCACATAATCTATTATTACATACGACAAAAGCCATTTTATTACTGACACTGGATTGTATTTTTATAAATTTTATGAATTACATCGATTTGTGAATTAACTGTATAAGCTCGATAATAAATTTTTTTTTTTTAAGTAATGTCAAGAGTATTAATTTTCGGAACCCCAAAATATATGATAGTGGAAGAGGAAATGTCATTTTTCAGAAATAGAAAGTGAGTTAATCGCTAGATTTGAAACAAAGCTCTAGCGCTATTATTTTCTTCATTTTTTACCAATACAACACGAGCATTCCTTCTTCGTTAAGACATTATGATTTCGTAGATAAATTATCGTGGCCTGCTAGTGCAATAAAATCGATCGAGCAAAAATCAGGATAAAAGAAGGATCGAAGGAGTGCCACGAAAGCCACTGCATCTCACCGTCAGCGTCAACCTCGTTGATCATGTCCTGCAATTCGGCCTCTGTGGGATTCTGTCCAAGGGAGCGCATCACAGTGCCCAATTCCTTGGTGGTGATGGTGCCGTCGCCGTCTTTGTCGAACAGCGAGAACGCCTCCTTGAACTCGGCGATTTGCTCCTCTGTAAGTTGGTCAGCCTGCAATTTGCAACAAACCAAGCAATTGCCGTTAATGAAAATGGTGCGCACGGGGTGATAAAAGTTAAGGAGATAAAAAAAAAAGAAGGCGCTAATAAATATTGGCGGCGCTCCCCGCGGGCAATTAGCGTCCGTAGCTATGCAATTCGCAGTGTGGACGAGGACGACGGCGACGACGGCGACGACGCTGTCTACGGTCGATCTGATCGAAGCTCCTTACACGCTGATCTTACGCATAGACTTACGAGCAATTGGCCAACCACGAAAATTACGCGACGCTGAATGACTTTATATGCATTTCCGGGAGCGGCGGCGGGGTTGGAGAGGGGAGGGGAGGAGGTACATCAGCAGCATCCGTCTGTTTCCTTTTTACTTTTTATTTGGCTTCCTGGCACCTTCCTGCGAAGTGCTTTCCTCGACTTTTTTTCTCACAAAAAGGGCAAATTAACTTTGTGCACTGTTAGATGTTCGGGGTACCAAACGAGTACCAAATGAGTACCAAACTAGATCACACTTTAACGTCTTAATTATGAATATTACGATACAATTAATACAATATTTTATTCTGATTGGTGAAGTTCTTAAACAGTCTTCACCACGCAGACTTTTTACAAGTCAGTCTTAAACATCTTTATAGTTAATAAATCTAAATTTAAATCAATCAATTTACTTGCAATAATAATATCGTAATTTTATTTAGTAGATCGTTAAAATACTATGGTAAATATTATTCTTCGACGTTTTTACAAGGCTTTTCTCTCTCTCTTTTTTTCTTCTTTTTATTACATTAGCCATACCAATATAATACAATCAACGTCAAATTAATAAAATATATAAATCTTCGTGAGCGATGATGAAATTATTATTACCTACTGTACTATGTTACGAAGATCCCAATGCACTAAATAAGAATATGTGATACGGTAATTTGATAACTTTATATTGACGGATTTTTATTGATGACGAGCGCATGATAGATACATGCGCATTATAATTAATTGAATGTGAAAATCAATCAGCTCAATTTGAAATGCTATTATCAATTTTAAAGAAGATATTTATGCTGGAAAATAAAATTAAAAAAAAATGTGAAACCAACGTTACTTAGTTGGAGCTACGCCAATAAACCACGGAATAAAGCTAATATCATGAAAATATTAATTTTTTGAGCGCGAGCCGAGTCACTAACATTGCATTTATAATACTACAATAGTACACTACAGAATACACTAAGTTCAAATTATAAATTAAATTTATAGTTTATAAAATAAACTATTACAGTTATATCGAACATTTATACGCAAATACTTTTTAACCAATATACATTTTCACAATCGCTGTCTTATTAATTTTATAAATCATAATTCTTATGACTTTTCACGTTATTCCTCGTAAACATTTAATAAAAATTAAAAATTAAAAATTAACAGAAATTTAACATTTTTCATCTTATTTCTCTATTTCTGAAAATTGTAAAGGAAAATTAACGCGTAAGATAAAACTATTCCATTTAATATTATATTTAACGAACGAAATTTATTTCACAAAGTGCATAAACATGTAATTGCAAACACGCTTTAAGTGCATAACTTAAGTCAAATTATTTTTTATATTACAATGTAAACGTTTTATCTCCGTGGAATTAAATTATATTCGCCTTTAATTATGTTTCCAGCGCATAAAAAGAAAATTTCTCTAAAAATTTTACGTTGCTTTGATCAATCTTACGTAAACTACAAGTAATTTACTTGAAAATAATTATATCTCACATGGGTAAAGAAAAAAAAAAATTACGGGAGATCATATTTTGCAAACAAATACTGAACGAAATTAATTTAAAATGCAGTTTACGTGTAATTTTACAGCGACAATCTATGAAATATAAGTCGCCATTTATCGAAGGAAATGTATTTAGTGTTAATAGCATCGTTCAACTGATTCAATAGACGATGAATACAACAATGCCGTTAAAATCTTGTACAATAGTCGTCATAACCTTTTAAATTGATGGAATTGTTTTCTCCTTTATTATACTTCTAACGAATCTACCGATTTTGATTTTGATTTTGTTACCCTGTGGACCACAATGACGCATGCACTTCACGGTATGCATTATGAATAGCCATCGAGATTCTGCTCGATTAAATATTTGAAGAAAATAAGATGAATGGGCCGAAAGTAGTAACTATGCTCTTATCTCTTTCCTATTTATTTAATTGTCAATATAAAGCTCTTTACGCAAAACGAATACTTTTTAATACGAACATATCTTTCAATTTAGTAGAGACATTTCGGTTAATTGAAAGTCCTTAAAAAATTTCAGCATTTTCAACAAAACTATATATTTTCCAATAATTATTAAGAACGTTTTTCGGTCATTTCATTGTAGATTAGATATTTAATAAATGTGACAACACTTTGATTATTGTCAAATACAGTATCATTCGATTAATATTAATACTTCTTTTTTTTTATTTGTTTATGTTCGTTGTTTTGTTTTATTTTGTTTTTGTTTTCATTTTTATTTTCATGAACGAAAATAATGAAGAATATTGCAATAGTTAAATCTTGACTCTAATCAATGCACAATTAATTAAAAAATGAATGTTTTACATATATGCAATCCGCATTGTTTGAGTCATTAAACAATCTTATGGGCATCGAACTTTATGACCATAAACATATTTATATACAACTCCGATGTCTTCCATTGTCCACATATCGATAAAAACCTGAATAATGCTATCCTTGAAACTAGAAAAATGAAACAATAGCAGAAATAATGCCATTAATTTTTTGGTTTAAAAAATGTAACAATATTTGTTATATTATCGTGTTACTTTCCTATTTATTTGCTGTATCTAAACTCATTAATTTAATTCCTCTCAATATTATTGAATATTATAATATTATTAATAATTTAATAATTCAAATTAATAAAGCATTAATATTAATAAACAACTTTTTCAAATAATTATTCCCGACGTGTTTCCTTAAAATACCAAAATTAACATGAATATTCTTGAATAAGCTAACAAATATTATCTCTTTCAATCCTCGTAAATAACAAAGATTAATAAGCTTTAAAAAGAGCTGAAATTTCTGATGTAAGCAAAATTTTAATTACATTTATAATTTATTTGATTGATAAGTTTTATTTTAAAGTATTGCACAAATAATGAGTAATTTCGAATAAATTTTTTGTTAAATTTATTGATATTTCAGAAAATGTTTAAAATATTTATGAATCAGTTCGTTTTTAAATACGTAATAAACTACATGAGAGGTATTATTTAATGAGCAGTTATAAATCGTATATTTATCTCTACAATAAATCTCTAATACAAAAATTTATTAGATATATATATATATATATATATATATATATATATATTCAAAAACATTTTAAAAAATTTTTTTCGAAGTCTTTCCGCTTTGCTAGTATTACCTTTGTAATGTTCGTATAGATAACAGAAGAATAATTTCTTTTTTTCCCTTTTAATAATAATAAATCCCCTATTATTATAACACAAAAACGGAGAGACACATACCCACCCTTGATATGTCAGTCCTCTGAAAAGTATAGGTGTTTTCAAAATGTATTAATAGCACTGTATTTACAATGAAAGAAAAATATAAATTCTTTATAACAGCACGCTCGTAAGAAAGTAAAATTGAAAATTCTTTTTATAACAAATATTCCTCTAATGTAATATTTAAATCAAGGTTCGATAAAAACGTTTCTTCTTCCAGTTGGCATATACATTATATTCGCCTCTCAAACAAATTGTTCTTTAAAAAAAAAAAGAAAAAAAAAAGAAGGATAAGTCTAAACGACCTAGAAAATCTTGATTGTGTCAGACAAGCTAATATCGATTGCTCCAGTCCACCCAAGTAATATACACGAGTTCCGCACTTCGTATACGACTCACGTAACTGTTCCAAAGGGCGTTCGAATAAATCCACGTGTCGAGAAAAATGAATTACAACAATAAACGACTTGACAATTTGTCACTATATTTCCTCCTCCAATCTTTATACGTATTCTGCACGTACATAGGAATATCTATATTAGTGTGGGCACGTGCAAGACATGCATTATTATTACGATGTCGTGTCCGCGACTCAAGACAACCACCGGTATAATATAGCATTTTCATATAAAAATCTTGATATAGGAAAAAACGGAATGATAGACAGCGGGAGAAAGTGTGAGGGAAATCACGAGGATTAATGAAAAAAATTGTAAAAATCGTCCCTGAGGTTTCATTTGATTCAATTTAATTTAGATGATGTATTAAAAATCAAACGTTATATATATATATATATATATATATATATACATATATTATACATTTAATTAATTTATCAAATCAAAGGCTTACTTACACTATCTAGTATGAACATTCTGCAATATAAATCTCCAATATTCTGCCAAGAAATTTGTAATTCGCAGATTATGAAACCATATTATGATTACGCAATGAATTCCAATTATCATTAGAATACAGTTTGCACCTAATACTTGTTGATGTAATTGTTTAAAATCGAATATATATATATATATATTTTTTCATACTCATCTATATCAATTTTATTGAAAATTTTATATAAATATCATTCTACTACGTGAAAATTCTATAAAAAAAAATATTCATAAATAAATTTATTTATGACATTTCATATTATTCATATGTACTGTCACAATTTCAAGGCTAAAAAATGTATTATCAACAAACTTGGATAAGTTTTAACCTCAGACATACATTAAACAATTCCTACGCATCAAGGTTAACATTTGCGAAAAAAAACTAAACCATTATATTTAGCAATTCGGTCTCTCTATTATTAAGAAACATTTGCTTATGCATAATCCAGTAGCTAAATGATTACGAGATTTGCACGGCTCGTCAAACTCATGAAAATAAGATTAAAAAAAAAGATAAAATAACGTAAACGGAGTTTCTTTACAATTCTTGAAGAGAAACCTGTTATCGAGG